TGTAAATTATAATTTAAATTAAATTAAACATTAAATAATAAAAAAAAATCACAATGATAAAATAATAATTGGTGAAGAAAAAACTGAGTTGTAAAAAAGAAAAAAATATTTATTAAAAAAAAATTACCTAAAAAAATTTAATATGAAAATCACTGCTTTTTTTTTTAAATTTAATTTAATTTATTTTAATTAATTTTTTTTTTGTATTATTTTTAAATTTAATATTTTATCTTTTTATTTTATGTTTTGTTTAAATTGCAGAGATCTTAATTAACAGGCTCCGTTTCACCTTCTGTTGATTCGACTAAACTGTTTGTTTCTTCACCTTCAGCATCTTCTGAAATCCAATCTTGTTTTTCTCTATATTAAAAATGAATAACAAAATATTTTTTTGTTTTTTGTTTTGCACAGTTTTAATTATGAGAAAAAAATGGAGAACTCAAATTTCCTACAATTTACATGAAATTGAAAAATTTCATCTATATTTTTTGAAAAATTTACTAAAATAAAAAATGAAAAAAAAAATTAAATTTTTTTTTTTTGTATTTTACATTTTGTGTTCTGTTTGACTCTTTTGTTTAAATATACCACTTGAAAGACTTATTTTGTATCTTTCGGAAATCAAATTGTTAAGAGAGTTTTAAAGTCATGTAAGCTCTTAATTATTTTTTATTTAAATTTATTTCAAGGTTTTCTTGTACGTGCCCTTATCGACTAAGCAAAGCAAAAATTGTATATTTAATTAATTTCAGACATTATATGTGATCTTAAAATGAGCTTCACCATTCTAAAATTTACCAAGAATTGAATAAACATGAACTAATGTCTAAATAATCTTAATATTTTAGCCGAGATGAGGTAAGAATATTGGAAACATCTTTCAAAAATTCCATCTTTGGAATTAATTGTGAACGAAAATGGCTCTACAAGAGAGTAATATTTCTACATTAAAGTAATTTTTTACAGTTTAGTATATAATTTATCTCTCATTTAAAGTAAACAGTTTACTATAATATCAAGCAATTATTCTTTAGAGCAATTTTACGTAAATTTAGTTTATTTTTTTATTATTTAGTTCGTCGAAGTTGGTATTATGTATAAAACCCCTCTTCTAACTTCTCCGTAAGTGTTTTATGCTAGGCTCTGTAATAAAATTAACACTGAGTATGAATAAAACCTTATAAAGGCACAGAGAATACGAAAGTGTGAGGGAGTAATATATAGAAGTAATTATACAAGAAAAAGCTGAAGGTTCAAAATTTACTACCCACCTCCTCGGTTAAAGGTTAAAAATAACTAGTTTCATTAATACAAGAACCGAAAACTGAAATTCTGTACTCATTAATTAACACAATATGGAATTTACGAGTAATATGGAAAACGTTATTTACAAAAGTCCGTGAAACCTATACTATTTAAAATGAGATTTTTTTTTGAATGTACAATATTTTTTGCGGTTATAATTGGCAACATTTCAATTATATAATATATAGTAAGGCCAATCAGTTCCAATGTTATAGGAAAAATTTTATTCTTCATACACTCTTAAGAACTCACATGACCTACAAATTAATTCATTTGTGATCAAAGACAGAAAATTGAATAAAAATGTAGAAAAAAAATTGGAAGATTTACTTTTAAATATCATAAAATAAAAAAAATATAAATTACTATAAAAAAAATAATAAAATATGATGAACATCCATGCAAAAAGCTGAAAATAAAATTAATAATTTATTTGATTTGTTGTTTTGTGAAAATTTTTTAGGTAGCTAAACATTATATTAGGATATGTTGATCAAACTTCAATTTTAATGTAAGGAATTATGTAAGGGCAATATACATACTTTGGGACTCCTGAAATTTTTAGAATTTATTTAGTGTACAAATATTCTGTTTTAATAGTTAATTTTTATTTTAATAGTTTTAATGCTAAGAGATTCATTTTTTAAAGACTTGTAGATTAAGCAATAAGGAATATTATTTTTAAATAAAAAATCATTCTCTATTTAATAATAAGGCGATTTGATGTTGATAAATAAAGGAAAGTATTTTTGGTCACCAGAATTTCCTATCGATTTTCTATTCGACATACATAGGTATTAAATGAATTAGAATCCTATTATTCTTTACTTGAATATTTAATAGAAATTAAATTTATACTAAATTTTTTTAAAAATTTTTATATAGCTACTTATAAATACTATAAATTTGGTTTTCGTTTACATCTAGAATAGTCTTAGCTTGTAGTACGTTCGAAAATTCATGCTACATATACAATGATAATATATATAGATCGTTCGTAAATTACTGGTTATAATAAAATGCGTTCGGAAATTCAATCTGTAAAAAAGAAATGTCAGAAATGTAACGCAGACTTGTAGTTTAAATTTTGTGTTGCTGCCATATGAAGCTTCTTTTTTTTTTTGTTAATTTAAAACAAATTTAAATTTAATATTCAGATTTAGATATCGAAGGATTATTAATGTAAGTTTTGTACAATTTTTTTGAATCTTGTTAAAATTTCCTTATTCTACAGTGAATTGGGAGGCGAAAAGTATTGAAATAAAATTTCGTAAACAATGTTATTTTCGAACGACTAATTATTTAGAAGTTTCAGAATTTGTAGACTACTGCGTAAACCAAAACAAAAAAACTTAGCTGAAATTTTTGCATATTGTTGAACAATAGAACTTTCAACGCAGCGTGCATAAACAAAAAAACCCCCCTAGTAAGAATCTCCTTTATTGATTTAAAATTTAAAAATCCCCATTTTCATGATGAAGATGTGATCTTAAACGTATGTGCATATATTCTTGTTCTTTATAATTATATTATATGTATATGTACATAATATATAGCTTCTAAGACTATTTAAATTTTATAAAAAGGATATAAAGAATTTTTCTATTAATATCGATTAATTTTATTAGTATCGATGGTGTATTTTCTTCTTGTATTATAATTTTATATATTATGGGAATAAAACATAAAAAGTATTTATATATATATACAAAATTGTGTAATAAATATCTACATGTTAATATATATATATATATATATATATATATATATATATATTTATATGTACCTATACTTTTATATTACACAATATGCTTTGAATAAAGCACGGATATTTATGTGTCGTTTTATTAATTTTTATAAGTTAAATTTGCGTATAACATTATTAAATAATAATTCACATTGATTGATGAGACATAAAAAGCAAGTGTATGCATGTATGTATTATTATATTATATACATATAATATTATATACAATAATATATAATTATATATATTGTAATATATATTATATTATGCAAAATAATTGAAGCGTATAATAGCTATTAGCAAATAATTTAATTAATAAAACAAATATATTGAATAAGAATTTAAAGTTTTAATTTAATTTGATTTTAATTGGAAAATTAAAAATAATTAAAAATTATCAAAATTTTAAAGCATAATTATTGCAAAAGCTCAAAAATATAGAAATTTTTTTTTTTTGCATTTAATAATGAAAATAAATGAAGAGAGAAAAAAACAAATTAAATTAATTTTCTTGTTTTCTCTTTAAATTATATTTTGCATAACTTTAGGCGAAAAATGTTCAAAACAGGCATTCCAAATTAAAAGGTTTTTTTGTTTTTTTTGCATATCTTTTTGGTTTGTTACGGGTTATTTTTTTCTGTTTTAATTTTTTATATACAAAAACTGATTTAGAGTTTTCGGAGTCTTCTTTTGTTTTTGAAATGTTTTATGTTTGCTTATGTTAAATAATTGTTAACATAAAAATGTTATTGTTAAATTAAAGGAAAAAAAAAATAATGAAATTGTAAATAAAAAACAAACAAAAAAAAAGTATAATTACAGTTAAAATTTTATTTTTATTTCTTCATGCATAAATTGTTTTTGTTATTGATTCTTTTTTTTTTTTTTTTTGAATTTTTTTATATATTTTTTTGTTTTTATTTTAATTTTTAATGTTATATTAAAATTTGTAACATTAGAACAAAAATCTAAAGTAAATTTATATATATAATAATAATTATAATAATAATAAAATAGGAATAATAATAATAATTATATAATTAAAAAAATTTCATAAAAAAAAAAAAACAAAAACTTATTAATTTTAAAATTTGAATTGTGGAGAAAGAAAAACCAAAAAGAATTTTTACAATAATTAAATTCAATGGGCATCTACTAAAATACAGATCTAATGAGTCAACTGGGCTCATTCAGAAGAATACATTTTATTTATATCAAAGACCTTTATAATATATCCTTATGTAAGCCTTTAATAAAAAAAGAAGTGTTATTTTCAATATGAAGAAGAATGTGGTCGGAAGACAACAATTTTTTTCTATTTAAAAAAAAATATCAATAATTATTAGTTGTAAGAGCTTTCGAAAAAGCTACCAGAGTTAGAAAGAAAATTACTAGAATGGCAACCCTGTAGATTGTAAAAAAGAAAAATTCGCATATTAATTGTCCTTAAGGAAATTAAGAAATTACTTGTGTATAACAGAAATTAAAATCTGATGCAGATTTCAAGAAAGCTCAAATGATGGGTCGTCAAAATTTAGAAAATCGAAATATTTTTCATACTAAAAAATTTTTACACTGGATTTGACGTCTGATACATTTTATTATGGTCTTTGATTATATTGAATAAGTCAAACTGTCGTTTGGTGAGATTTTAATTTTAGTAGACGCTAGCCCAATGACTTGCAGTTTTCCTTTTCCCTCTTCTTTGAAAACAAAAAAATAATATTAAAAAACAAAAAAAAAATTTTCAACAATTAATTAAATGAAATTAAAATAGAAAAAAAAAAAGAAAAAACAAAAAATAACAATAATGAAAAGTTTAGGCTTTCATATTTGCATTAATAATAAAAAAAAAATTAAAAATTAAAATTGTTTTTTTTTTCTCTTAGCTTGGCTTGTTTTGCTGTTTTTTTTTTTTGTTTTTGTTTTCCTCTAATATTCATCTTACTTTCTAAGTGGTGGTAAATCACTATTAGCAGTGATACTGAGTCGTCGGATATTTGGTTTATCATATTCTTCCATGGACATTCCACGTGATAATCTGCCAGTTGGTCCAGATGGTGGTGGTCCACCATTTGGTGAAGTATCTGATGATCCACCAGAACTTGTTGAAAATGCTCTTGAACGATCTACGCCAGGCATAATAACTGATGTTAATAGACCTTGACCCTTACAGAATAATAAAATCGATTGTGCGACTTTTGCTGGCTACATATTTTATATATAAGTATGTAAATAAATAAAAATAGATGCATAATAAAGGTTAGTTACATTATAAATGGTTTAAATATATTCTAATTTTATTAATACTTTTCATACTTTAAGGTTATTAATACTTATTGGTATGTTATTAAGGCCAGTAAACCCACTTTAATTTTTGAAAACAGTTGATTTTTCGAAAATTGGTACTATAATGATTTAAATATTTTTAACTATTTAATTAATAGAAGGCGAATCTGTTCTAGATGCAAAATAAAAATTTGTACTTCGTATAAATGTACAGAAGCATTGTTATATTCTAACTATTTTCCAGATTTTCATATACTCATGTGCATATTGCCGGCTTAGTTGTTTCTTCAGACAAAAGCTTTTATACTTTTTGCACTGAACACGTTTTTGTTAATATTTCTGACGCACCTATTTCAATTTAATCCCGAATAACATAAAAATTAATTCAGGCAAGTCTTATGAATCAAGAAATTATCAATATCTGTGGGAAAAATATTATCGCACAAAATTATTTTGGCAACTTTATTTAAATTTATATTGAACATTAAAAAATTTTGATTTGAAATTTTTGATTCCAATATCTATATTTTATTGAGGAAATTTTATTAAAATCAACAGATGAGTTTTCAAGTAATTAAATTTGAGTTTACTTGTCCAAAATGAGCAATAAACTGGCAATATGTTCTTAAGAATGAGCATTTTTGTTGCCATTGAACTCAAAACTTTGGTGGAGATCATTGAGAATGGTACGATAAAGGTTTCAGTTATTTTGAAACAATGGAAAAGAAAATGTTGAAAAAAACGGAATCGTGTAGTAGTTTTCTATTACTTAAGTGAATATAAAATGTTATTCTTCTTTTAAATATTCTTGTAATTTAATTTTACTTTCTTCTTTCTTATTTTGTAAAAAAAAAAGAAAATTTAAAGGAATTTTGAAAACAAAATAAATATTAAGGATAAAATTCCTTTCCTAAACCTAAATTTTATATGTTTCTCTTTTTAATTAATACTTACAGCATCTGCAAGAACATCACCAGCACGTTCAACTTTTAACAAGGTTACTTTTTCTTTTTCAACTTCACGATGTAATTTTTCAACAACTGTTGCATATGGACTGAGCATTCCAGTAATCAACAAAATATCAAGTTTAGCATTTTTTAAGGGTAAATCTTTTCGGCTATATATGTAAGACAAAAAAACGATATTTTGCATAAGTAAACTAAATTAATATATTTATATAAAAGTATATAATGAAATTTATTCAGAAATTAGTGAAAATCGTAAATATTCTGAATTTTTTATTTTCTCTTTAAAAGAATAATTTAATAAATTTTGCAAAAAAAAAAATTACCTCATAAAGGCTTTAACATAAAGTCCAACGTTTTTGTTATTGAGTGATTCACGAAGACGTGATTGGTATTCAGTAACAATTTTTTCCTTATCAGGATTATCACCGACCAATTGCTATACATATATGCAATTTTAATTCCAAATTTATTAAAATATTGTTGTAATATATGGATAAGGTGCCGCCGGTACATCAGCCCCAATTTTAAGTGATTTTAAGTGATTGTGAAAATTGTTTAAGAATTTTAAGTAAAAAAACACATAGGAGAATTTTTTTTCCCATATTTTGTATTTAAAGATATGGTCAGCATTGAATTTTAAATTGAGGATTTTCAGATAAAGAAAATAATATTGAAAAAATACATGAGAAAGGAGGTTGGGATGTGGGGTAAAATGTTAAGGGAATATATTATGGGATAATATTTGATAAAATGGGAAACAGCCAAATTATGTTTTTCCACGGGTTCACACAGGAAAATTAAAAAAATAAAAAAAAAAAATCAAAATAATTTTTAATTAAAATTTAATAAAATATTTTTTGTTTTATTTTATAAAGCGATAAATTTATTCTACATTTTGAGAGCATGGACAAAATACAACATTTTTTGTATAGACATATAGAAACTTTTAATTTCAAATCAATTTTAAATGAAAGTAGATTTCTTCTAATTTTTAGGACGGGTTTTTACTTAACCGCGTGTTATTCCTCGTTGCTAATTTATTAGAAACACTCATTTATTTAGTTGTATTCGGATATGTATGAGTTCGAGTTGCAATAAGGAATTTTTAATTTCATAAATTAATAGTTGATACTGCAAATATAATAATATAAATTCAAGCGGAAAGTTTTCTTAGGAAATAACATTATTGCAGAATTATAGAATTTAAGTTTTACAAAAACTATTGTGAATAATATAAATTATAGGGTGAATTGGAAGAGAAATTTGTTACAATAGTTCCTTTCATTTAATGTAGATACACATAATATTTGAAAAATTCTGACCCTCTTTTCTATTTTTAAATTGCAACGTATACTTTGAATAAATTTTTCATTATACTAAGTTCTGGTTTGATTCAATTTTAATGTTGTATTTTGTTTGACAGCTTGATAAATGGTTTTTTTTTATAGCAATTTATAGTGATTTTAATGTTCAAAATTGTACGAAAAAAATCTTTTTTTGTTTTTTTTTTATATTTGATTCCTAAATTTTGTTTTTATGAAATGGTGGATTGTATCAGCTGATTTATTTATATAAACATGCAATAAAAATATTTAAAATAAAAATTAATTTAAATACATATACATACATACACACTAAAATTATTACGTGATTAAGAAAACATTTCATAATTAAATTTCTTACTTGCTAAATTTAAAAAAAAAAAAACACATCAAATTTATCGATTATCTAATGAATATTTTGGAATAGTTAGTTGCTTTTTGTTTATTGATTTTCGAATTGTATAAGACAATTTGTATGATTAATAAAATGTTGGTATAGAGTTGTAACAAGTCGTCTGCAGTATGAAAGTATACAAATATATATTAAGTATATAAATTATGCTGCAATTCAGACATATGTCCGCACATTTATCTATTCAATCGCATGATTGTTTATACTTAAAAGCAAAAAAAAAAAACAATAGTCCGGGAAACGAGTTCGGTTAGCTATCATTCAAGAAGTTTTCAAAACCTAATAGTGATTAATATGAATTTTTTTATAAATTTATGCGATATTTAATTGTCATGTATACTTAAAGTTTTAACTGAATAGCTTTGTTTGGATATAGCTGCTATCATACAACTCTCTTCTCTTTTCTCATACTAATTCTCTTATTTTTTAATAAAATTGAACTGCAAGTAATCAGTTGATATGAGAATTTTGAATACTAAAAATGACAATATTATGTTTTTTTTTTTTGTTTTTAATTGGTCGCAAATGGGTTAAATACTCGTATCATGGCATAAATCTCCACAAAATTAAAGAAATGTATGTCATTATGGTATTAATTAATTTTGGGAAATAAAAGAAAAACAATAAATCATTGTGACCTGTTTTTTGTTTGTAATTGTACCTTTGTTAAATTCCGAATTTTTTTTGTAGAATGTTGAGCATTGATTAAAGGTAAGTGTTGTGTGTGGTTTTTTCATGTCAATTTTTTTTATTATATTCATTGTTAATTTTATTTGTTATACGATTTTAAAAAAAATTCGGTTGAATTTGGGACAATATCTGGAAGGATATTTTTTATCTTTCAATACAGTAACAATTAATTTCCATTTTTAATTATTGAAGTGTATATACGTAACTAGCCATAATATACAGTTGAATTTCTATTATAGTGCCTTCTATAACTTGAATTATTCTTCAAATCGAACCGATTCCCCAATATCTAGACGGTTCGAGTTATGAAAATTATACTGTAATTGAAATTTCAATTTCGTTTTTAAATGGAGTCAAAAGGATTTTTGGATAAATGCGCGCGTATATGTATAGTTTGATATTAACTGAATAAGATACCCCTTAACTTAAAAAAAAAATTTCATAAAAATTTTTATATTCAAATATTTTAAAAAATTTTATTCAGTTTTTATTAAAACTTAATCAGAGACTGCAAAATTTCATCAAAGAGAAATTAATTAAAAATGATCGAGGCAAAACATTTCTGGGCTGAATTACTTTTAAAATATATACACTGTTAAAAAACTGTTTTGGGGTTGCTACGATAAATGTAGAACTTCTTAGAATACATTCACAATAAACGAGTTTTTCGCTACAAAACAAATTGATAAAATATTTTGAGTGTTTTTGAGTTATTCGAAATTAATGGAATATGTATAGATTCTTTTTACAGTATGAATTTTAAGGCCTCTTATTCAATTATATTTAAATTTCTTGATTTTAACCCGTGATTCTTTTAAAAAAACGTATAATAAGGAATTTTAAATATTGTAAAAAGGAGACGCTGTAATGTGGCAATCACCATAATTTAAAATTTTCAAAAATTTATAAAATAGTAATAAAATATTAGAAATATCTAAACCGAGACCAAAAGTTCTTTTATACTTTAATGATTTTTTTTAGTGAATATTAGAAAAAATTCTCTAAGCGGCAGGTTTAGTTATGCACTTTTTAAATGAAAACAACTAAAACACAATTTATATGAATTTTTTATTTTTTTTTTTTAAATTCTTCTTGTTCCTCTGTTTTAATTAACCTAATGAATTTAATTGAAAAGTTGATTAAAAAAACTAAAATAAATTAATTAAAACTGTATATAAAAAAAATGACAGTATAAATAAATTGACAGTCAATAAGAGAGAAATTTTCTAATAAATAATTTAAAAGAAATGAGGTTGCAAAATATGATTTTGGTGATTATGAAGAATTCGTTTTTATCAACCGCATTGTATAAGCAAGTAATAAGGTAAGTTATGTGCTGACCACATCAGATTTTTTAATTTTCTTATAGAATGTAAGAAAGTATAGTTTTTTTGATTTCATTCATCTTTTTATACTTAGTTAGAAAATGTTCTGGAAAGCAATTCTGGCTTACATACTTAAACAATGTTTCAATTTGATTAACCATTTGAAATGGAACAGAGTGAAGTCTTATAATTGGCTAAATAATTCGCAATGTTTGTTCAATTTTAAAAACTAGCCTTTAAATTTTTCCATATGAAATTATATGGTCAACCATTTACTGGAATAACCATAATTTATTATATGCATGTTAGTGATTTAGTAATTAGTGTCACACTATATACTATCATTTGGGGTCCAAAAATTAATAAAATTTTTGTTGACACTTAGCTTTTTCCGAAGGAAATTTATACGCAAAAAAGTTTGAGAAAATAGAAATTTCGTGAAAATTTGTTAAAATCCCGTTGTTGATTTGATACCGTTGAGATTTGACAACTGGTTCCAAAACAAAAAATTTTACCCATTCTTGACGCTTCAAACAATAATAATATTGTATTCTTTACTGAGTCACTGTATATAACTAATAAACTAATTATTATTGAAATGTGAGGTTATGTCTCAAGTGAGTTTATGAATTGGTGCATTAATATTTTTTGGTTTAAACAAACACACCGAAAGTATTTTATGAAAATCATATTTTCAAATTCTTTTTTAAAAAAATATTATAAAACAAATTTTATTTTTCTAAAAAACGAATTCCTTAAACAATATTGGAAATGATTTCTACGTATAGTAAATGAAATAAGTAGTAAACAGAGAATGTGTTGAAAATAAGTAGTATTCACGATTTATGCTCAATATTGAATGAGGTATACGAGTTACAGAATAAATTGAATTCATGCAATTACAAATATTTAATAAAGTCAATTTCATTTAAGATTTTGTATAAAAACTTCATTCTCGCAAGACAGAAGACGAAAATTAATTCCTTTTTAAAGTTTTATTTTAGTTAAATTAAAAATTGTAATAAAATTTTAAATAATGAAATAAATAAAAAATCTATTTAATATTCATGGCAGCTTTACTTATAATTTTTGGATTCTGGCAATTTCAGCTTGTCACAAAAAAAAAGGTTTTTCTCTCTTATAAAAACTTTGTCAGGTGTCATATTTTCTTAAATTAACTTTTAGTAAATAACAATATTTTACAAAACAAAAATTTAAAATAAAAATTTTTTTAAGTTTTTATTTTAATTCATATATTCAGAAACTTCATCGAATACGTGAAAATGTTACAAAATTTTTTTTCAAACTTTGTTTACGAATATTTTTGAAATTATTTTGTTTGGTTAAAATTCTCTTTGAGACATCAAAGAGCTACGAATAAAGTAATTTGATATAGAATAAAATTGTGTTCTGAATGCAGTCCTTGATTTAATGAAGTTCTTAATAATTTAAAACTTTTGATAAAAGAAAATGTTATTAATGACTGTAAACTGCAGTACTCAAATTACATTATGCGTCCTGATTCACATTTTAATAAAAAAAAAAAAATTAAATCACTGAAATATTACTTTAAAAAAATTTTTTTTATTAATAATTGAAAAACGTAACAATTTTTTAACAATTATGTTAAAAAAGTTAATAATTTTTGCTATAAAAATAATATTAATTAACATTAATGAAAAATTATGTATATTTAATACGGCCCACTACTATTAATAAAAGTACTGCCCAAAGGAAGAAATATCACTCGTAAAATGACAGTCAAATTTATGAATGCGAGAAAATTATATTAGAGTATTGTCGGTTCTAATTAAACTAGTCTGCTTGTTTAAACAACTTGTAAATGATGTTTTTTTAGAATGGAATTTTACTAAATACCCATAATTCTGAATAATTAATTCTGTGTTTGTTAACAAGTTTGTTTGTTTGTTGACTGTGTTTGTTGAAAATTTTGTCAACCTTAAGTTGAAAACAGAACAGAAGCGATTTTTCACGACTAAATGTCCGAATTCATATATGTGTGTATGATATTATATTCAAAATACTGTAAACTTAATTTTGCCGTTCCGCTGTTGTTCTGAATGAACAATGGGAATTGTCTGTCGTCGCCGTTAACCGCTTTGGTTCTGTTTTTACGATAACAATAAACTAATATATTGAATCGTCTGTCGTATTCAACGATTTTTATCTGAATGTAATGGGCGAATAGGTTTCAGGATTATGCAATTGTATATAAACGCTTCAGTATTGCCACATGTAATTTGAATTATTGTCATAATACAAACTGGTGCAGCACAACACCACTTTTTTAAATGTTATACAAATAAGTGATTTAATTTTTGAAATTCAGTAATTTTCTATTGAATTAAAATAATTGAAATTGTCTTTTTTTTATATAATTCCGTAAATACTACTTTTATTAATAAAAAATTGAAACAAATAATTAATTTAAAGGTGAACAAGAAAAGTTTAATGCAGAGCAATAATAATTAAAATATTTAAATAATTAAAAATTGGTGAATTTAAGAGACACAAATATACAAATACAATATTAAAAAATTAAGTGTTTAGTTAAATAGAAAGAAAATAAAACATTTAATGAGGAGCTGATGAAATAAAAATATTATTGGAAAAAAAAGCATTATTCCTACCTCGAGAAACTTTTTTTTTGTTATATATTTTTGAATTATGTGCAATTTACATAAAAATAAATATAAATTATTTATTAAAAATATTATTATTGAAAAAGAAATTTGTTATATTTTATGTTAAACATCACAATTAAAATGTCCGCACATTGTATGTGTACACAAATTACAAATATAGAATTATTATTTTTTTTTTTTTTGGTTAACGGATTAAATACACATAAAAGCACCCATACGCAAAAATTTGTTAGCAAAATTTTTTTTAAATTATTTTTTTTTTCATGTTATTTTTTTACATTTTTTTTTATTGCGTTGTTAGTTTGTAAAACCAGTTATTAATTAATTATTAATTTCATTATTATACAAATTACATTCAAACATTAAATTACAGAGAAAAAAGATATTGTAAAATTTAATTATAATTGTTTTTTTTTATTAATTAATATAAAAATATAATTATTTTATATTATATTTAAATAATTTAAATATTTTTTTTTTTAATTTTGTCGGCATGTAAATAAAAAAGAAAGAAAAAGAAATTAAAAAGAAAATAAATATTTATTTTTAATAATAAATTTATTATAAAAAAAAAAGAATTAAGGTTTCCAGGCAAGGATTGAAAAGATAACAGAAAAAAAATTAAATAGGCTTGTCATCATTGTTTCTGTCATTCAAATTATTGATTGACACCAAAAATTAACGTATCGTTAATTTTTAGTGTCATCATTGAAATATTAACTATCGAAAATAGCTGCCATTGTTTATTGTAGTTTTGAATGGGAAACAAAAGAAAAATTCGATGTCATCATTGAATTTTCATTAACCTCTTTCTTGCTCACTCATATTCTATTTCTTGATACTATATAGTTTCTGTTAATTGTTTCAGCTGATTTGAATGAGATTTTGAACACAATTTAAGTAAAATTTTAATTAAAATGAATAACAATATTCAAAGAAAATAAATCGTCAAAGAAAATAATCACGTGACCCTTCGAATTTTTACAATTACATTCAAAAGGAGGGGGGGTTGGGGGTAAACAAAAAAATTTTTTTGCATTACAAATTTTCAGTCAACAATATTATTGAAACTTCGATTCGTCTACGATTTCCAAAAAAAAAAATTAATGATTAACGAACAGAGTTGACATACATGAAAAAGTTTAATGGGCCTAATTTTTAATTAAAGCAATTCAAATTTTCAAGTAAAAAGAGCCCAAAATTGACATACATGTAAATACAAAAATGACAATATAATGCTGACATGAAAGCATTTGCAACTTTTGCGGGAAGAGGGAAAATTAAAGCTTTCTTTAAGACTTAGAAAATGGGCCAAATACGACTAGTTACGAAAAAAAAAAATGGTTCGTAGGGTCAAAATGATTTTAAACAAGAAAAATTTGCAGTACTCGACATTTAGTTCAAAGTAGCAATACTGTTCATGAATTACTAATATTCAATAACATCAGTTTGTCTCTTTTAATAATCTTTTTTTATCTCATTCAATTGTTAGTGACAATGATGACGACCATAGCCAAAAAATTATAAGAATTTTATATTTATAAATTTCATATTTAAATAACTAATTTATTATATAATATTAATATAAAGTATAAAATATAAAATAATAAAGAAATTTTCAAGGAAATTTTTCAAATTTATATATTAAATAATATATGTTATATACATTTTATATATATATATATATATATATGTATATATATATATATATATATTTAGTTATATTAATTAAAATTGGGTGAATTTTAACAACAATTATAAAATTTTGTGTGACATTTATTTAAGTATTAATTAAAATAATTAAAATAAAAATAAAAACAAATAAAATTTATAAAATAGAAATTTAAAAAATAATAAAAAAAATAAAACAATAATTTTAGATCTTATAGAAACACGATATTGCTTAGTCTTTTACTAATTTATGCAATAATAATAATAATAAGCACGTTCAGTACAGTTATCCGAAAAGATATTGCATAAATATTAAATTTTAGAACAGTAAAGCCATTAATTCACAATGACGTAAAACACACAGTTGACATGAATTCACAAACGTGAATATTGCTTTTCAACAAGTGAGTACCAACTTAATGTTGAAATGAATTTGAAAAATCGACATTGGAATTTTTAGGTAATTAATATTTATACAACTTTAAAATAAAAAAATCATCACTACTTAAGAAAAATTTTTAAATTTTTATGATTTTTATGGAACAAAAATGCATATAATAAAGAGGTGACAGTGTTGGCATTGTTTAACATTTATAAATACTCATGTTATGTATTCACGTAGAAGATTAAAGAATTTTTAAAGCTAAAATTCCAAAATAAGGGAATTTCAATAAAAAGTTCCAAGAAAGTGATCAATATAAAATTTTTTCATCTACATATATATAGCTACGTGCTTCTATAATTTGATTTGTCGAAAACAACATTGTTGTTTAATTTTTTTTATTCCATTTTATCTTGATGGAAAATTTGCTTCTTTTTCATATAGGTATTCTATTTATTTTTTTCCCCTTCTATATTATCAAAATATTTCAAAACGTACACACAATGTGACCTAATTAAGATGAAATTCTTAAAAGGTCTGAAAATAAAACTTTAAGAGTTACTCTTATATTTTTAGTATCACCACATATTATTTTCTTTTAATTCTAATAGTTTATTTTTGAAGTGTTTCTCATGTTTCTATAAAGTTCTTATATAATTGTATATGAGTTTTCATATGTACCCAATATTCACAATAATATAATAATATGATATTTTAATTTAAGGATAATAAAATATATATAGATAGAGAGAGAGAGAATAAAAAGAAAAATTAAGAGAGAAAGAAAAAAAAAGAAAATCATAAAAATAAAAAATACATTTTTAGTAATACACTGATTGCACATTTACCACCAATTAGAATTTTTGTTTTTTATGTCCTAATTTCTCTTATATATTATTATAAATATATATTATATAAACTATTATATAAATAGATATATTTATAGTTGAATTATTTTTAGTTTTTATTTTGAATTTTTTTTTTTTTTGTATATGAAATGCATTAATTCAAACTTACATGACCGAATTTATGATACATTAAAAATTCTTCAGCTGAATGAGCAACTTGATCTCCTGACCAGTTGATGAACTAAAAGTAAAAAAAACAAAAAAAACCGAAAAACAGAGAGTAAAATTAAGTAAAAGAGAATTTTAGTTTTATTTTTTTTGTTCTTAATTACATAAAAAGTTTAAATAAAAAAAAATTACTTTGGTTTTAAATGTTTCCAAAACTGTAGCTGCACTTCCTGTACAATTAATTAAAATTAAACCAAGTGCACGTGTTGGATGTGCTAAACCAAAACGAGCTAAAACATTAGCACCAGCACCTTCACCTAGGCCGATAACAAATTTAACATGTAAAAAGTCCAATACGGTAACTAAATCTTCACCAAGAACTTGTAACGATGGAAATACAAAACTAAATACAAATAAATAAGAGATGAAGAAATAATTAATTAATATAGGAATAAAAATTATTTTTATATTTCAATAGATTAGGTTAGGTTAGGTTGTCGCGGTTCTCCATAGACTACTTAGGCCATAGAGTGCCCATAGACTAATTAGGCCAATAGTGTTAGTAAAATAAATTTAAAATGTACTTATTATAATTTGAGTCTTGCAATTTTCGAAATATAATGTGTTTTCCTATTAATTAAATTTCAAAATTTTTGTTGAAAACTTTCATTCTTTAAACTCATTTGAATGAACTCATTAAAATTATTTGTCTAATGGTTTCGATTTGACGATTTTAAAGCTTAAATATTTTAAGAATAAAAATTGTGCGAAAAGTTTTCATTTAAAGATTCTGTTATTTTAAAAAACGATTTTGCTAATCGGACATTAGGCAGAATCTTTTATATAGGGTGATTCAGTAATCAGTGACATAACGCATACCATTATTTAGAGCATTAAAAATGACTAAAATTTTTGTTCAGAATTAGGTGTCAAATCTCAATGGATTTTCGAGGTATACAGAGTTTTTGAGGAAATTTCTACTTGCTCAAGTTGTTTTGCTTATAGCTTCCCTTGTTAAAACTATGACCTATATTATTCAAAATTTTTTTTTAACATTACTCAGCTTATTCAATATGTAGAAACTTCTTTTCTTATAAATTAAATTTAATCAATGACAAAATTACCTATCCGGTAAGGTTCCAGCACCATCTTCATGGCCTGGTACATCGATGTGTATGAAACATGAACGTTCTTTTATTTCCGTCATACATGGACTGTTGACGAACTCTTGAAATGCATTATCTAAAAAAATATTAAGAAAAATAAATTAATTTAATAGTTATTGTAATATAAAAATTTTAATGGCATACAGTAAAAACTTATATGTATAAATATTTGTTGGAAAAATCTGTTGGAAAGTTTGAGATAGAGTATCCAATTTCGAACATTATAAATCAAAACTTATCACAAATAAAATTCTTTTCTTGAAATTCGTAATAAATTGTTTTTAGATTTCACACAATATTTTTAATAGAAATTTTGTTTGAGATTCGAAATTCTGCAAATATCGTAAGAAATTTTTGAAGAAATTTTCTAAAAATTTTAATTAACTGTTAAAATATTTATTGGAACAATTTGCCTAAAAGTTAATTGTTATTGTTTTCTTTCCAATTTTTTGTTTCTTAATATTTCATCGTACTTTTTTTTTAATATATTCATATTTTCGCTAAAATTTATTAACGTTAAAATTTCTGGTTTAAAAGAAAAAATTGTCGTATTTTTTGCATCTTCTTCTTAGATTTTTTTCTTTAAAGGATTATGTTATTATGTAAAGGATTTTCAAGCATAAAAGCAAAGTCTTTGGAAAAGTAGAAAAAAAAATGTAAAAATATTTTTTTTCCTATATTTTACCCTACATACATCATTTCTTAAATAATCCTGATAAGACAATAATACCGCAATAAAAGAGTTACTGAAATATGTGGGTGGAAGAAATAAAAAAAAAATTATTACCGTTGTAATAAAATGAGACCAAAATGAAAAAATTATGGAAAGTTTATAACAGTATATAGCTGAGTAAAATAAATGAAAAACATTTTTATTTTAATCTTTATTTATAAATGTGAGTGTGTTAAAAAATGATAGGTGAGTTTTCACAGTAATAAAAACACAGTTTTTTGCAGTAACAATTTTTTTTTTTAAATTTCTGTAAAGTAACGATTACCGGCACTCAAATATGAGCTCTAGGAGTTTTCTTTTTTTTTCGCCGTGGTTCTTTTCACCTCTACCAAAAGGATCATGTGTGAACATGAACATGAACACTATTTCTAGGCTCCTGACGAATTTCAGTATTACGTCCACCCGGAGCTGTGAGACCTCTGAAGAGATTACTAAGCCTCCCCTGAAGCACTTGTGCCTTAGCCGGAACACATTCTCACACTTGCATAACAGATGCTCCGCCGTCTAATTCTCTTCCAAGCACAGATGACACAACTCATCCTCGTTTCAGTTGAATGAATTTTTAATTCTGTATTTCATTTTATGCGTCATCTTTTATTTGAAAATTATCATTCCGTCAAATTAATTTGTATTTTATTTTTAATTAAAAAAAATTGCATAAAATCAGGCGAAAAATATGTATGGATGTATTATTCATTCACACATCTGTATCTATGTGTTTTATTTTGAATTACTGTTACATAGGAATTAAATAGTTTTTCATGGCTATCTGCCATTCTTTCTAATAGAACAATTAATTAATTTATGGGAGTATAAATTTTTGTGTACGCCTGTATTCTGTAAAATTAAAATTATGCTTAACCCCTTTATTCACATCGTTGTGTATTAAAGAAAATATACACGCTATAGGGAATAAAAATTACTTATGAGTTAGTAAATCTTAGTTGCACATCTCGAAATCTGTTAATTAATGAGATTAATTACAAATTAACATTTATTTAAGCAATTACAAATTAACACTTTTTCGTTACTCCTGAAAAGTTTGAACCAAACTGGTCACTGGTAACTATTATAATGTAATAAATATTAAATAATTATCAATAATTTATTATTTAAATAGAGTAGTAGACCTATAGAGTTTGCCATAAAATTTTAATGTTGAGATCTAAAACATTGAAATACAAATTTTCCAATATTAACAGTGCGCTAATCTAAACTTTATAGTAAACTTTATCTAGAACAATAGTGTTTCCGGACGCACATGTTCAAATCAATCCAGGATCTTAGGCTAGGTAAGAATGTACGTGTTCATACTCTAGATACCTTTTTCAAGTTGTTATACAAATTCCATATACCACGTTTAATATAATCATAACTAAAGTATAGAATAGAAAAATACTGACTGAGAAAATTTATTGGTAATCTCGTTGAAGAATTTATGCATGACTTAAAATAAATCGAACACACAAAACAAAAACCCTAAAAATGAAATATCAAAAATGTCAGACATTTAAGAAATATGTTGAATTTTTTACATTCCGTCGAAAATGTGTACAAGCCAAAAAAATAATAAAAATTTTTACATTTTATTTTATGTAAGAGAAAAAAAAATTGTTTTTGTATACATAACTTTTTCTACACCAAAATTTTTTTCTAAACGGGGAATGTACACTGCATAAATATTATGTCGGAGGTATTTAAGCACTGGAAAGCATTAAGTTAAAATAAATTCGGATCAAACCAACGGTTTGTAAAGTAGCACTTTTGCTCTAAAAAAAGGGCAAAATTTTGTTTTTTTTTCAAAAGAAGTCTTTTTCTTAAAATTGTTCTCAATTATATCAAAATTATTTTATGCAATATAAAATTATTGCATATTTATCGGAGATGGAAGTAAAATTTAAAAAACCGATAACATAATGGTCGAATTCTACATGTGACCGAATGGTCGAATGACCATTCGTCACATGTTCCGTTCCGTTCTGTTTTAGTAAAATAAGTTTCCATAGGAAATATTTTTTTGTACATAAAATTTGAGCTTTCTATCTTAAAATGTTGTGGAAATTTGTAAACGAGCAGATAAACGGGCGAACACAGACAAACGGACGGTAGAGTCCAATTTTTTAGAAAGTGCTAAACGGACACCTTTTCTCCAATTTTCTTAGAAAGTGCTAAAAAGTAATTCTCCTAAAGCTTAAAATTTTCATAAAACTCGAAACAATTGACAGATGGTTTTCAAAATTTTTCTATACAAATGTTTGCTTTTTACTTTTTAATAACTCATAAAAAGAGAATTAAATATAAGCATGAGTAATGCATAAACAAGAGAAGAATATATATTTAATTTGACCAATGGTATTAGGAATGAACTTGTAGCATTTTGTTGAAAATTAAACCTTAATATCAAAAATTTACGATGCTCAGAAATCTACAAAATTATAATCTTTTCTAAGAAATTTTAATAATAAAATTTTTATTATAATTATTAGATTTTGTAGGTACAACAAGTTAGCATCGATTTTAATTAATTTTTGACAATTTTATAATATTTTTCATTTATCATTTGTTGTCACAAGTAACAATTGTATACACTGCATGGCAGATTCGGTTGTCGTTTTGGACGTATTGCACTTTTTTTTATCGTAAAATGTTTGCTTTCGAAACATTTATTAAAGAACATTGTTGAACTTTGTTTTTTCGTTTACGTTCTAAAATGTTATAAGTAATATAAATTGTGGTTGAGATTTTTTTTGTGTCAAATTGTATCTTAAATAATTCTATATTGTAGTTTTTTTTTTCATAATAAGAGTAACTTATTCAATTTACAAATGAAGCTTAAAAAGGTTGTCTACAAACATTTTTTTTCCTAAACTTTTAATAAAATTTAGAATTTTCATTGTTGAATTAATAAAATATTGAGCTAGAAATCTTAAAGTTGTTGATTTCTAATTGTACACTTGTATAAGTTAAAATTTCTATAATAATTGAATGGCAATAAATTATCTTCTATATAATAATAATAATAGAAGATTTATAACAAAAAAACATTTCGTGGAATATAATAAAATGACAATTAACGATATATTAATTGGTATGTTCTTTTTAGAGGCGCACAACACTCCCAACTATTTTTAAGTACATCAATCTCGGTAATATTAGTTACCATTGTATTATTAGTAATGCGTATATGCATTCCGATAGATGAAGTTTATATTTTTATATAAAAAATTGATGTCCAGTCTTTGTTAATGATAATTTATAAATTTTGGAAGGCATTTTATTTACAAATTACATATACACATGTGTTAATAACGATAACTTTCAAATCTTGTTTTATGCGAAAGAAATGTAACCAATACTTACATTATGCCTACAATATGGGAATGAATAAAAACCGAGTTCCTGCTATTGTGAATCAAATACTTATGAGTATTTAATAAAGTAATGGTTTTGAACGCTCTTAAGGCTATCTCCAGCTTTATATTTGGAATATTAAAGACAAGAGATGCTATAATAAGTAGCCAGGGTCGTTGGTCGTCGGTGGAGATCTTCTGGTCTCGCTTAGTTACCCTAAAATCTACAATCTACAAATATCTACTATAAAAATATGGCGAATTTTAATTAAGTAAATTATTTTGTTTTTTTATGTTAAGGTAGCGTTTACTCATCAAAAAATTTGTCATCGATTTTGTCTTGCTTAATGAAAATTCGATTAAAACTCGAAAATCTACACATTGGTTTATTTTGTTTGATGATGCAAAAATAGTAGGCCACCTCCAATTATTATCAAACGAAATCCCTGAACAACGTTTAAAGCCTGAGCTTAGATTAACACTTGTTTTTAGCACTTTTCCAAAAAATTTTTGAAAAAAAAAGTGCTTATTAGTTTTACTCTGTCCGTCCGTCCGTCCGTCTGTCCGTATGTTTGTTTACGAAATTTCTACACCCTTGAAGATAGAAAGTTGAAATTGTATGTGCATAGATCTTTACTAGAAATTTTTTCCGTAGAACAAAATTTTTACCTATCTCCCCTGCTCTAGAAGTTATACTCCCCAAAACCCTAAAAATGGCCTTTTTTAACTATTTGTTGCAATGAAACCATAAGCATTTTTGAAATTTTTCAAACGCAGAAAGGCAGTGGGTTGCTTCCCCTAGCGCGGTATACTATAGTTAAATTTAAGAAAAACAAAATGGCCGTTCAAATTTACCGTTATCTAAAGTCTTTTTTTTCCAAATTTTTGATTTCTTTTTTCTTCTAGACCCTAGCCTGTAGAAGCTTGAAATTTTAGGGGCTTTTAGAGTTTAGAATTAGATAGTTCATTTCGTTAGAAGAAAAATTTTTTTCCATCTTCACCCCCTCTCAAGTTATCGCCTCTTGAAATTTGTAAAATTTGAATTTTTGACACCTTATATTTCCGAAACCGCAAGCTTTTTCAAATTTCTATAAACGCAAAAAGCTAACAGTAAATTCCATGACATTAAAAAATATAATTACTTTTCTTAACTCACACAATTAACCCTTAAAATCGAGCATTATGTTAATCTTACTTTATATTATTTTTTGTTTATTTCAAAGACTGCATAAATCGTTCATCCTAAATATATGCAATCCTAGAAATAGTTTCGTTTATGAATGAAAATAATTTTAATAGTGTGATAGCTATACATAGACTGTATTTAAAAGCAGAATTTTCACTTGTTGAAGGGAAAAGTGCTACAATACAAACCATTGGTTTGACCCAACTTTATTTTAGTCAGATATGGGGTGATAAAAAAATTTAAACAAAGTTTTGATTCAAAAGGTTTTGTTAGATAAAGGTGAATTTTAATGTCAGATCTGTGACTAAACTATTACCATAATTAAAATTAAAATATTACTTATATTATAAATTTACTTACGATTGCATCCGAGGTCATGAACTGTTATAAATACTGCACGTTTCTCTTGTTGTGATAAATCGCCCTATATATTCAAGTGTGAAAAATCAAAATATTTTATTTAATAAAATTTATTTAAAAATTTTTCTTTTTTAAACAATTGAAATTCATTCATTATTTCGATAATTAATGATCTCCAAAATTCCTTAATAATCTTACCTGAACCGTAACAGTAAGTTCACCAGATTTTTCTGTATTTATGACATATTTCTGTATTAAAATATAGAAAAAAATTAAAAAATATTAAATTTTCTATAATTTTACATTAAAATGAAATAATTTGAAATAAAATTTATTGTTAATTAAACTTTGAAATTAAAATAAAATAGGAAAAAGTAATTTAAATAAAAAAAATAAAAAAATTAAAAAATAAATTAAATTTCAAAGCTATGAGGTAGCATTATGATTAAATGACCAAAATGGAGACTTTGGTGTTCACTTATTTTACTAATGTGAATTTTTTTTCTTTTGACTTTATAACTGTAATAATATACAATATTTTAATTATTGTTTGTTTTTTTTTTTTTGATAAATGAAAATTACAAATTTGAATTGTGTATGATTTAAAAATATTTACACAAGTTTATTTTTTTTTTTATAAAAAACTACTTAGAACTTACGATGTCAGTGTTTTTCTGTAAATGTAAATTTGTTCTGAAATATGAAAAAAAATTAATATGAATTTCTTTTATGCAAACATGAAAGTGTTCATATACTGCAGAATTTTCGAACACAACTGGGAAATTAACAAAGCCATTGTGGTATAGATATTATAAATGTTTTGTCTCTCAAGATGAACCAAATATAGCTGGTATAATTAGTTCAAGCAATAACTCTTTACTGATATGTTTAATAGACTCTTGTAGGATTTCTAATAATGCAGCACCGGCCTTTAAATTTGTTGCCGGCAGACTACCCATTAGTCTATTTAAACGATGATATTTAATGATATTTTGTTTAAGCAGCCGGTCGATGACTTCTGAAATTCCGGTGAATTAATTTTCTGTCATAGATTTTATATACATATTATGTTGCAACACATTAAGACCATTTTATTGGTTCAAGTCTCTATGGCCTGTACTTATTTAGTAGCTATATATTTTCAATTATAATAAGACAATTTGGATGGATGTGAAAAAACCCGGATTTTTTTTTGGTTTATTAATTTTTAGATGAACAGAAAATTTATACTAATGAATTAAGTTAAATTTCATTCAAATGAATCTTCGATTCGAGTTGCATGCTTTTTTTAATGTTCCACAACGTAACTAATTAACTAGCTATGTTGTGAATTAGTAATGAATTCTTGTATTAAGTAATAATCCCCTAAAAGTATGTTATATTTAAAAAAAAAAATTATTTTCTTATTCTCAATTGTGTACACACGCCTTATTTTATATTATAGATTAAATTTTTACCAAAAATCTGATACAATAAAATATTTTCGATTAACAAAGAGGGTCGCTTTTATAGTAGATATTGTGGCACGCTTAAATTTTATAAACAGCTAGATGATTTTTCTTTTTACCTCTTATTTCTATTAAATATTTGAAAAACATAAAGCCATGAATTTTATTGTGTTATAAAAACCATTACTTTATTAAATACTAATTTATTTATAATTTTTATATTTTGGGTCACTCTGTACTTTACATACACGTTGTTATTTTTAAGGCTGACCTTTTTTTTAGTTCCTTATGGCCGATAAAAATTTTATTAACCTCCAAAGAATCCTTTTTTTTGCGTTCAATTTTTACTAAAATTCTCCGCACCTTATGTGATACGTGTATAAAATTTTTGTATAATTTTTGTTTCTTTCATAAGGTTTATGTATTTTAGTAAAAAAAAGGAAACGTATATGTGTGTATGTTTGTATATCCTACTTATTAGGATGTAACTAGGAGAGTAAGACTACAATTAAAAAATATTTTTTATTTTTTTTTTATTTTAAATTTAATTTTACGGTTAGGTACATTTTTCGAAAAGACCTCAATAAAATTTCACTTTAACTTTTTAATAAAAACAATGTTTTCATACTCGTATATTTATAATAAGCCGATGTTACCATAGTATATAGGCTGTTCTAGTAATAGCCTCATTAATTTTTAAAATAAGCCATACGTAACAGAGAAAAAAGGATTGCAAATTTTCCCATAATGTTATTGTGTAAATAGTTAAAAAAACATTAAAAAAAATCTGATGTGGTCAGCGCATAACCGTTAGTTAGCTTATAGTTACTTGTAGTAGATTTTCGCTTTGTGCTATCCGAATTTCCTAAAATGCTCGCCAGTTAGTTTCGGTAATAATCAGAACTCAAATATCAAATTTCAAGAAATTCCATCGATTCGCTCCGTAGATATGGTGAAAAATGTAAAATTGGCCCGCAGATCAGTTTTCGAGCCCTGATCTTTCCAAAAAATTTACATGTTAATTGTTTTAATACGAGGAATTCAAATATTAAATTTCAATGAAATCGGTTGATTATTTCTCTTTATATACACAAAAATGTATATTTGGCCCAAAGTAAACGTCTAGTTGCCGATGCCTGATTTCTTCCAAAACATAGGAATTTTCGCGGATGGTCGAGCTGAGCTTATATATAAAATTTCAAGTAAATCGGTTGAATATTTTCTTCAAAATGTTCAAAAATGTAAAACAGGCCCGCTAAAAAGTGCAGTTCCCGAGGCCTGATATATCAAAAGTTGATCAATCAGTGCCATAGTCGAAATAAACTTACATGTAAAATTTCATTAAAATCGGTTCAGCCGAACTTGAGATACACGCGTACATACACAGAACGACAGACCGACAGGTTACTAAAAATAGTTTATTTACACTTCCCTATCATTGAGTAGTGCGTTCCCACCAAAAACTCGATATGCAAAATTTGTTGCCATCACATAACCTACCTATTGTTTACACAATACGGTCGGTAAATATTATAACGAAATTGTTTTAGAAATCTGAGGGATGAGAGTTAAAGAAAAACAACGACTGAACTTAAATTAGGTATTTAATATGCTATAAGTCATACGTTGTCCTTAAAAGTTATGTTTAATATAAGTTTAAGTATTCAGATGGCATAAATCTAATTATACCCATTGCTATTTTTGCACTGGGACAGTAAGTAATTATCATTAAGCTTGAATTCGTGGTAAAAATGAAAATTTTGTATGTTTATAACTTTTAATCTCACGAAGGCAAGATGTAGTTTGTGAGATATTTTATAATATTAATTTTAGGTATAGATTATTAGACATTTTCTGTTATATTTTATAAATTAATGTTTTAGTATTCTTCTAACTGAATATATGAGATATGAGTTTTCGAATACAAATTTTCACTACTATCTGCACTCTGCAGTATCCTTTAACTAGTAATTTAATTTATGTGTACCAATATCTGTATCTGCGTTATTATAAATAAATTTAGAAGGTTTTGTTGCTGCGAATTTTTATTACCTGAGACAATATGAAAAATTTATAAGTTTACAGAAATTCAAGCCAGATTAGGAACGTGATCACGCTTGGGGTCGCAATCAAAATGAGAATCAGGTTATTGTTTAGGACAAGAATCAGGTTTAAGCTGAGGATCGGACTTGAGAAAGACTTAAGGGTCAGGAGTAGAGTCAAAACCACTGTCGGGTGCAACATCAGGGTCAAGGTCAGACCCAAGGTTAGGTTTGGTGTTAGTGTCAGGGTTAATGTCAGTGTCAAGGTCAGAACTAGGGTCAGGGTCAGCGTTAGGATCAGAATCAGGTAAAGATTCAGGGGCAGGATCACAGGCAGCATTGATTCACGGGCAGGATAGGAGTTAGAGTTTTCAAAACTAAATTTTCAACCAAAATTGAATTCTGTTTAAATTTCAGAATGTTGTGCAGTTAAAAATTTTTTCTCTTAATATTTATATTGTGAAAATTTATTTTAAATTTAATTTATTTATAAAATTTTTTAGTAAATATAATTTAAGAATATTAACATTTCTCAAAAAAAAAAGAAAACTGCAAATCCTTACTAAAATCTCTTGAAGTGATTGAAACTCTTCAATTAAATTTGATATGTACGAATTTTTAAGGGTTTTTGATTTATTTTAAAAAGCACAATGTATATATATTTTTATGGAAGTAATGATCAAAAAATGTCCTTAAGGAATAATAAGTAAGTTCCTTTGTGTATTTACTAAAATGTATGTATGTATGAATAGTTAATGAACACATTACATTATCGTATAAAATCACCAATTAAATGAAAAGCTTCTTAAAAATATTTTTATCAATACTAATGCACATATGTTATATGTATATATAAGCATCTAGGAATATTTTAGAAATGTGTATGTATAATAGTATACGTGTTTCACTCAAAACAAGAAAATTTCATCCAAATAAATTTGTTTTCTGGTTTTCTGTTTTTTTTTAACTAAATGTCATGAACATGAGCCGAAAAACATTTCATTTGTATTTTATTGTATTCGTAAATATTTGTATATGTATGATATTCTTGTGTGAAAAATAATTTCCATGTAGATAGATAGCTATATGTATAGTCTTTAATTGAGAAAATTTTAATATTTATTTCAAGTTCTTGTTTAACAGTAATTAAATGTTGTTTGTATGAATTCGTTTAATGATTTTCGATTCCTTCAAAAAATGTAATATACTGAAGGATATTTTATTAATATCTATTAATTTATTTAAGGAAATTATTTGTGCTCTAACGTGAATCGGAAAATATACATATGAATCTATGATATAGTCATCAGTCGTAATTAAAAATCAAAGGAACATTAATTTAGTGAAGAATCATAATTTAAACTTTCAATTAAATAAAGCATAATTTTCATGAAAATTGTTAAATTTTAACAGGGTATAACTACTGAACTATACTGTTTGCTGGGTACAATTTTTGATCCATTTAGGATCAGAGTCTGGGTAGGGAGTAATATTAAAGTCAAAGTCAGGGTTAGAGTAAGAATCAGTGTCGGGGTCAACGTTAGGGTCAGAGTAAATGTCAGAACCAGGGTTAGGTTCAGATTTACGGTCAAGATTAAGATCATAGCCAGATTCACAGGTAGGATAGAAGTAAAAATCGGAGGACAGTGTGGAAATTATTATTTACATACTGTTATAAATATTATTAAATTTTAATACGTTAAAATACTGAACTATATAGGTTGCTAATTAAAATTTTTGACCCTTTTAAAGCAATATT